TAAAGAGAATCTTCCGAATCGTAAGGATAGAATTATACTCAATGAAATGGACTAAACATCGATAAGTAACACCAACACGTGTAAACTTCATAAGTGACTTCTGTGCTGCACACTGTTTATTAATTTATATTACAGGTTTTATAGTAAAGTTCAAGAAATAATTATTTTAAAGCAATGAACTAAATTTGTTGTATAATTTATTAAAAACCCGTATAAATGATAAGTATAGTGTGCTAACATTGTAATTTTGTTCCGTGATTATATATCAGTAGCAGGTTATACAATGTACATTCAAGTTAAGAACTTATATACCGGGGTAATAACACAAGTGAACTTGTGATGAAAATTTATTTTAACGAAAGTCAAGCAGTTAAAAGTTAAAGTTTGTATTTTGAAAAATAAATCAAGTGAAGTCACATAAAACAAATACGAGTTGTAACGCTCACACACGGACACACACACAAACGTTTTGGTAACTCGGAATAGTCCAGAGTAAAAACTGTATTTTCTTGATGACGGAATGTCCAGTACATCTAATATTCACGTCCGGGATTGTCCACGGCGGATCTAAAACTGACTCTCTCACACAACGTACGGGATTCACTCAAACTTCAATTAACACATTTACGCAATTATCACACATACAAGACGGACGCTCTTTGAGGTAGAGGATTGACACTAATTCCTTAAATAAATTTTGAGTGACAAATTCCTGTTTTGTCTAAACATTAATTGATTGATAAATAATTTCCGACATATGTTAAAAACAGGCATTAAAAATAATTCTTTTTATAAATTAAAATTCTGTTACATTTTAAATAAATTTGGTAAAATTTACTTAGTGTCAGTAACAATGTTATCTGAATTTTACAGACTTATCATGTAATTAAACGCTTTTACAAACAAAATTACTGTTAAAATCATAACCGGCACCAAAGTCAAACCATTCGTATCGTTTACCGTATATAACTCAGTATTTTCTTTAGAATGATGAACTTATATCTAGCGCAAATAACTTTCCTCGGTTTAAAAAATACGCGTACGCGTACGAGAGAAAACGAGTGAGAGGCATTTTATTCAAGTAGATTCAATTTTTTACAAGCGAGTCGCTGTATCAAGTATTGTCTAATTTTTTATTCTATTAAACATAATCTCCCTTTCCTATTCAAAATATAATTTATTTGATGATTTTATTGAACTTCAAGCACAATATCATTATGTATTACTAAAATGATGTCCATGCACGGATGTTAATGTACATCGGGAATTTTCTTTAATCCTTTATCCATGCATTCCTCCTTCAAGGAAAATAATTATGAATAAATTGATTGAATAACGTGTATAAAACCATGTGGTTTCGGTTTGTCAACGTGTTTTAGATCATGATCAGCAAATCACAACTCCTCGGGTCTTCCTGTCTAACAGAATAATAACCTTGAATGTATTACGTATACATTATGACATCCCCATGCTCTTCACCCCCTTTACCCAAACTTTGAAATAAATGAGGAAAGATATTTTATTTGTGGACTTTTGAGTTTAATTTTACTAAATATCAAATAAAAGTTAATTATCAATTAGATATAAGTCTTAAGGAATGCAAATCATGAATGGAACAGAAACACTGACCTCAATCCCCTCGCTGGAGGCAAGTAACTTTGTAAGGGGTCGATTGTTCGTGAAGGACGAAGCTTAAGCAAAGAATATGTAGTGCTTTAAAGTGGAGTCAATTCGTAGGTAACTCGTATACAGATTTCTTGACAAAGTTCTTGTTCGATGCTGGTCAACAAAATTCCTGAACATTGGTTACCATGGAATAAAGATGATTCCACAGCAGCTGGCCAATCTATTTCACGAAAAATCACAACAGAGATATAGTTATAATTGACACTATGAAATTTAGCAATGGCACTGTAGTGGTAACGGAAAATTGTGGGCGAGGAAACATCGCTCCTCCTACAAAAGATATCCATCAGGACTATTGGTGAATCCTCGTGGAATCGGAACAGATAATCCGCGTATTCATAGCCTGTGACACACATACAAACTTAAGCTTGACACTGACGGTCACGTATTCATAGCTTGTAAAGTTAACACACACAAACACACACTTGACAATGACGGTCGCCTACTCAGAAATCAAAAGAGAACATTTTGAGCATACCTTAATTATTTACAATGTGTCAATCTGTCACCTCCAATTCCTTTAGCACTTTACAAATTTTACTCGGTGTTGCTAGCTGTTGAGACATCAATTAAAGTTATACGTATTCCTCGGCAATGTTTATAATCTGTCGGTATTTCTCAATCTACAATAAAACAGATATTTCTAACAACAAAGCAAAATATGATAAAAAAAAATAATAAAATATAATTTAATGTAGATCAAGCTGAATATTAGAAACAAAATTTAGATATATGTCTTACTTTAGCAATGGAATATCATCCTTATTAGCTAGAATCGGTATGGCTTGGTTGAAAATTGTTCTGTTTTTACATTAAAATATATGTTAAGCTTAATTACTAAAGGATCATTCTCTATAAGGCCGTTTTGCGACCTACAATGACTTCAAATTTTCAGATAGTATTTTTTTTCTCAAAAATTGTATGAATCACTAGGCTTATGTTTCAATTGAATGATAAATATTGGTTGGTTAATGATACATTAGTATTTTTAATGATATAGGGTCACAAAGTAAGGTACCATTGGTCCGTATTAGCATTAGAGTAATGGGAAAACTTAAGAAGATGGCTGTGTTAGATAACTCCTATGCATGTCATAACCACCTTTAACCAGCACAAAAATTTGCTTGAAAATTTCTTATAAATATAACTAGAGGCCCAGGGGCCACAGCGCTCACCTGGACACATTGGCTAGGAAAAAGCACATATCAGATCAGAACTGAAAGTTTAAGGGGGGGGGGGCTTGAATTTTAACCCCCCAGGGGTTCATGATTTGAACAAACTAGAATCTACACTACCTGAAGATGATTCCATATTAATATCACTAATCATAGCTTTGAAGTACCTGAAAAGATGATTTTAGAAGGTTTCCCTATAAATCCCTATGTAAAACTTGGGTCGGCCATTTTGGCCCCACCCTAGCCCCGGGGGTCATGATTTGAATAAACTTGAATCTACACTACCTGAGGATGATTCCACATGAGTTTCATCTTTCCTGGCCCAGTGGTTCTTGAGAAGAAGATTTTTAAAGATTTTTCCTATATATTCCTATGTAAAACTTAGGTCGGCCATTTTGGCCCCACCCTAGCCCCGGGGGTCCTGATTTGAACAAACTTTAATCTACACTACCTGAGGATGTTTCCACATGAGTTTCATCTTTCCTGGACCAGTGGTTCTTGAGAAGAAGATTTTTAAAGATTTTTCCTATATATTCCTACGTAAAACTTAGGTCGGCCATTTTGGCCCCACCCTAGCCCCGGGGGTCATGATTTGAATAAACTTGAATCTACACTACCTGAGGATGATTCCACATGAGTTTCATCTTTCCTGGACCAGTGGTTCTTGAGAAGAAGATTTTTTAAGATTTTTCCTATATATTCCTATGTAAAACTTGGGTCGGCCATTTTGCCCCCACCCTAGCCCCGGGGGTCATGATTTGAACAAACTTGAATCTACACCACCTGAGGATGATTCCACATGAGTTTCATCTTTCCTGGACCAGTGGTTCTTAAGAAGAAGATTTTTTAAAAATGCCATTAATTTTTCTCTAATTCATAATTATCTCACCTTGGAAAAGGGCGTGGCCCTTCATTTGAACAAACACAAACTTGAATCCCCTTTACCCAAGGATGCTTTGTGGCAAGTTTGGTTGAAATTGGCCCAGCGGTTCTTGAGAAGAAGTCGAAAATGTGAAAAGTTTACGGACAGACAGACAGACGGACAGACAGACGGACGGACAGACAGACAGACGGACAGACGGACGCCGGACAAAATGTGATCAGAAAAGCTCACTTGAGCCTTCGACTCAGGTGAGCTAAAAAGTGACTACCAAAGTATTAATTTGGTTAAAAGTGGCTATGACATCTAAATAAAAACTTTTCACTTCATTTTTACGATATTTGCAGAAAAATCTAACTACTCACATTGAAGGATATCAGCTTATGTAGATTATTTCTTTTTATAAACGTTTGGTTAGAGTACAATTTTCTGTTGATTTACTAAAATTTATATCAACCATGCATATTTACTAAAAAAATATATGATTTTTTTTTTACTTAAAAATCTTAAAACCAAAGAACAGGATGTCATGAAATTTCAAGTGGAGACGTTTCTTTGAAATGTCTGATAAAATTTAACAAATAAACACTTTTTATAGAATATATGGTGTGAATATGAGTTATTTTTTATATTTATGATGAAAGTGTAGTATATCCATATATGCTACTTCCTTGAATTTTGTTATAAGTACTGCTTATATTCTTTGTTTTTCCTCATGAGTACTGTATATGTTCTAGAAATGATGAAAGCAATATTTGTTGAAGCGGTAACATGCATTTATTATTTGTGTTATAGACTCTTTTCCTATGTGTACACACACAATTTGTATATGGACACTTCCGTACGAGTATCATGTGATCCATATTTTGTTAACTAGGTCTTAATATTGAGAGGACTCAATCTATTCATCACACTTCTTTGATAGCATCGATATAAGTTACGATAACATTAGTCCTGTCTTAGAAAACAAACTGGTAAAGAGGAGAGGGATTAATTAATGTAATATGTGATTGATAATGAATGTTGCTTTACCCCATTTAAGGATTTTTCAACCAGATAAAGAAATCATCCACTTAAGGTCAAATGTTTGTGTATAGTTGCATTTCTAACAAACGCCCAAAGTGGGACGGGCCCTTTTTTTTTTTTTTAAAAAAAAAGATAATTTCCAAAAGACCGATGACATTTACTTTAAATGCTACAGACTTAGGTAGGGAGCTGTCACTATCCGTGTTAAACAAGTATTTGACACTGCACTGGGAAAGAAACTGAATTTAACCTGCAGGTTTCAAGAGTGGGAAAAGAGCATCAAACCCTTAGGGTCTTGTACCTGGGATGTTGTAGAACTCTTAATTCTGTATACTAGCATATACGAATAACTTTTAGAATCTGATATGCATAGTTGAAGGAACTGTTAAAATTCTGCTCCATTTTGTGTTGTGCCATTAAACACGGAGGGGGAGGGGGGAGTCTCAACTTTTTTCGAAAAGATTAACGTTCAAATTATCCAAAATGTGGATGCAATGGTATTCTTGTCATAAAAATATCTTGAACCTTAGATTTAAAAATATCTTCAAATTTATTACTTAGGTCTTATGTATTTCGGACATAAATGAACAATTTTTGATTATTTACATTCAGAAACATGCATAGAAACTTGTTTTAAATAGACGTTCCCTCAATTTTTCTTTAACTGACAGCCATTTTTTTTTTATATCTTATCACATGACTTAGATGATCGATGTTGAAAAACAAACATCAAAATCATGAACTAGAATGATTATAGTTATATAAAATCACATTTTAAAGTAATTTTATCGTAGGCCGGAAAATGGCCTTATAGAGAATTACCTGTTGCAGAACTCTTTCTCGTTATATATCTGTATAAACGAAGAGGGGATGGGTTGTCCAATAGGCCATACCAGAGGCGGTGAGTTTTGTGATCATAGGCTATACTTGTTGGTTTACACGATTTTTATTCTTCTGAGAGTAGGTAAGACAGAAATTGGCCGTCTTTATCAATCAAATGAACAGCCGTATGATGAAGGTCACACACCAAAATGTTAAGAAGCGCGTCTGTGCAGATTCCATAGGGAGTAAATTTGTCTACTGGTAAAGATGGATGTCCGGTATATGTAAATCGGTGTCTTCCATTATGGTCTGTTACCACTATGCACCAAAAATCTGACATCACAATATCCCTGTTTCCATTTTCTGTTATGTAGGTAGGATGGTAATACAAATTTTCACCTGTATCGTTGTACTGGATGGTCTGAATATTATGTCCTAATGTATTATACCGACTAACTTTTGTATTGGTATATTTGAGACTTTTTTCCTCATATCCAGTTCCCATGCCAACAAGCAAATCCCCTGTAAATGGAGAGCTGTAAATACAAAGCGGTGTCCATAATTCTGGTTTTCTAACCAGTATATCTCTTGAGGTGTGGTCGGAAGATATCACGGATATGCAATGATTTCTGTCTATATAAATCATATCATCATCCTTGTTCACGCAGTGTACTCCATATGTAAAAGTATCTATGACATCAATTACGTGACATAATATGTCTCCTTCTATGTTTATCAACATAATATTGTTGTTGAAACTAACCCAAACTTTCTCAGATGTTACACATGAAATATGACAAGCACAAGGTAATTTTTTTAACGGGACATATTTTTGTAGTACCGGTTTTGACATTAACTGAAGCATTTGTCCACTTTCTACTCTTCTCTTCTGTCTCTCCACGACTTTGCAATTGAACAAAAATTCATTCACATCCAAAGTTTTTATTTTCTCGTGAAAAATAATGGCAAAGGAATCCTTAATCTCCAGTCTGTTTGGAATAGAGATTTTCTTAAAAGATAGAAGGAATTGCACTGGCATGTTTGCCGAAAGTTCGTACGTGTGTTCATACTTCTGAATGATAGAAATGATTTTTTTTATTGTTTGTTCCTTTCGTTGTTCCATTATACATTTTATATAATTATCTATTCTAATAACGCTTTTTGAGAGATTTGCGTCCATTCGATCTTTTAATCTTTGAGCTTTCTCTATAATGCTTTGCTTGCTACTTGAGACATCTACTTTAAGAGTTTCTATATCTGCATTAACACAAGTTTTGAGCCAGTCCATGATAACTTTATCATATGGTAGTAAATCACTTTTTATATGAATAATTTTTTCTCTGTATTTTTGTCTAGATGTTTTATAGACTAAACGTATATCGAGCATTTTATGATTTTGATGTCCTCTGCATGTTATACGTATTGGTTGTTCACATGAATGGCACCAGCTTTTATAGATTTTGTGTGGATGTATCTCACATTTTTCTGGTATAATAAAGTCACCAGCCTTGGCACGGTAAGCTACTACATCGTGGTATTTTGTGTCAAGATCTATAACATGTTTTCCCTCACAGGTAGCACAAAGATTTTGTATACAGGTTTTGCAGTAAAATTCTGGCTTACCCTGACATTGAGAACACTTCTTAACTTCACGTTGTTTTGTTACGCCTTTTTTCATTCTAGTTTTTATTGTCACCTCAGATGATCACATAAGGCTGTCAGTTTTCTTTGAAATCGTTAATGAACTGGTTATCTTGACCTGTAAATATATAAAATAATTAACAAGCATTTAATGTGATTTCCATTCTCCGACTATTCTTAACCTCTAAATATAGTCTTTTTGGAAGACAACTGAAAAATATTAGCTTAAATGTAAAATTTATCTAAAATGGCTGAATGGACAAAAAAAAAACCCCGATGGGACGGGATATTGTATGTTTTTTTTTTTTACAGAATTGATACAATTGATACATAATTGAGAAATACAAGGAAATCGATTTTTCCAAATAAACAAAAAATGAAATTCAGTCTATATAGTAAGAAAAAACAACTATAATTTCTTTTGGTTATGCATATGCTATCAAGTCTTATTTTAAATCAAGTTCATGGTGTTTCCATTGCGCAATACTTCGCACATCTAAAGACCTGTTTTTTTATTTCTTGATCATGACAAGGAGCACACGGCGAGTAGAGGATGCTTACTCCTCCATGGCACCTGATCCCACCTCTGATGTTTCGGAGGTCCGTGTTTGCTCCTATTTTGTATTGTTTTATGGACTTTGAGATGGAATATTGTTCGTTATCTCCACATCATTCTTTAAAAGGTTCATTGATAAGACTGCTGCCCATGACAAAACTTACGTCTCTGTAGAAAACTGGCAACAGTATATATTTGGCTAAAATCCTTAGGATATTTTCAGATATTTAAAGGTAAACGTTTTTTAGAGATAGAACAATCCTATGGACTATACCAGGCTAGTCGGAACAATGACCCCTCCCCCCTCCCCTGCAAAAAAAATTTTGCCAATAAATAAACAATAGAAAACCTAAAATGTACCAATTTTATGTTTTGCCACTTTATTCATTTCAATGCATTTGATTTCTTTGGTGCCCCCTCCTAACTGACACCCCCCCCCCCCCAATAAATAAATCCTTCCTAAGGCCATGTAAATGTGTATGTAAAATCTATATACCGTACATAACTTTTTTTTATTAGAATTTTTTGATTGGAATTCAAAACCCAGCAAAAATATCATAACTATGACCAAGCATTGCTAACATATGCAATTTTAAAAATGGCTGACGTAATTCGAGATTCACTAGGTTCAGATACTCCTGTAGTCTTAAGTAAAAGAAGCATGAATTTTGTCAGCAGATACTATTTTCTGAGCAAGAAGACATTTAAACAAATTTTATTCCATATTTTTCTTTTGTGATGAAATTGATTAAAATTTATAGTCTTATGACCCAACCTAAACATTTGGAAAAAGACAGTATGCATTTGAATATATTTTTTTAAAGTTGTAAACATTTGGAAAAAGACAGTATGCATTTGAATATATTTTTTAAAGAAATTATTTTACACGCTTTGAACACCTTATGTATAGTTAAACTGTTTATGTAACTTTCTCTTATATAAATGAATTGCTTTAAATAAAATACTTACATGTAAATTCTACTTAAAAGTTAAACAGCTGTTAAATGTGGATACAATTTGTCATTCAAGACGGGGCTATGCATGTTTGTTCCTGTACTTTTTGACTCCAGCCTTTCAATCTTTCAAAATATTTCTAGCGTAAAGCCTCAATGGAGTCTACCTTCATATATACCCCTTGAAAATGAAATTTTTGCCTGATATATAATATGTTTAATAGGTACTTTTACAGATAACTAAGAAAAATTGTTAAACCTCTTTTCAATTAAATTTTTCTAGAAATCACATTTTTGTTTACAATTTATATATATTTATTACACTGCGTTTCTTTCCTTGCTAAACAAGACATGCAATTATCTTAAAAAGACTCGTGCTGTGTAAACACCCTTTCAGCTGAATTGTTTCACAGCAATTTCACAGCAATTTCAATGGTAAATTTGTATTTAGTACATTATTCTTAATACAATTTTCAAATTTGGTAATTTTTGGAAATGTTGATCTAATACCCCATTCATATAAGTAAATATACACACGTAAGTAAAAATTAATTTGCAATGCGTTCAGACGAAATTTATGTACTGTTAGTTAATCCTCATATTTGCATATGAAATAAGGAGATGGAGATATTCAGAATTGTTATTTTTTATAGAAAAGGTCATTTTCTTACTATTTTGGTAAAAACTAACTTTTGAATGTTCCTTAAAGACTAGGGTGGAAATCCGATCCAATAATTTATTGGTATACAAAAGAAAAGGAACTTATTGATTTTAAGGACAAAGAACTGCACAAGAATTTACACACAATGAAGGAAAATTTATTAAAATTTTTGTTTAATGTTGGAAAATGTTTGGTCTAGGTACAAAAGACTGCAGAAGTGCCGTTGGGTGTTAAGAAAAAGGTGACTGTTGCCATATACTGATTGACGTCTTCAGCAAAAATAGGACGATTGGAAACTTTTTGGTGTTAGAAAATCTACAGTACATCAAGTGTGTGAGGCAATAATATAATATCCACTTTATTAGTAGACCTATTTTTGTATTCATATGAAGCAGAATTTGTGCAAAATCTTATTCATAAAAAGAAGAAAACACTTGCTGTGGCCTTCATCTCGACATTTGCCCCGTGGGGATCCAGGTTAGAATATGTCCTCAGTACCCCCTTGCTTGTTGTAAAAGGCGACGAAATGGGGCGGTCCTTCGGATGAGACCGTATAAACCGAGACCCTGTGTCACAGCAGGTGTGGCAAGATAAAGATCCCTCCCTGCACAAAGGCCGTAAGTGCCGAGCATAGGCCTAAATTTGCAGCCCTTCACCTGCAAAGGTGACGTCTCCATATCAGTGATATATTCTGGAGAGGGGCGTTAAACAGTATACAATCAATTAATCAATTAACTCTACATTCAGATATATCGACGACGTATTTTCAATAAACAATGGTCATTTCCATTCCTACGTCTATACAATATATCCAGGTGAGCTTGAGATAAAAGATACCACAGAATCTGACACATCTGTTTCATACTTGGATATTTTACTTGAAAAAGACGTTAATGGTAATCTAACAGACGAGCTATATGATAAACGTGACAATCTATCTTCAGCTTTCCTCACTTATGTAGCAATATACCTTCATCACCTGCATAAGGAGTGTATATATCTCAGTTGATTCGATACGCAAGAGCATGCTCTACGTATGGACAATTTCTATAACAAGTAAATTATTGACAAGCATGTTGATGAAACAAGAATATCAGCTGTTTCGTTAAAAGTAATCTTTTCGTTTGTTCTATGGTCGATAGAATGGCCTTATCATTAAGTCAAATGCTGACTGACGTTTTTCATACTTATTGTTAGTCCATTATTTATACATTGAATTGACGACTGATTTTTTTCCGTCATTTGCTAATCATGACAAGGAGCACAGGGCGGGTGTGACCGGTCAGCAGGGGATGTTCACTCCTCCATGGTACCTGATCCCATCTCTGATATTTTGGAGGTCCGGGTTTGCTCTGCTTCTATTTTGTATTGTTTTATGGTCTTCGAAACTGAATACAGTTCGTTGTCTCCATATTCTTCCTTGAATATAATACATGAAGGATATGGAGATAAAGAACAGTGTTCAAGAAAAAGGCCATACAACAATTCAATATAGGAGCAGAGCAAACGCGGGCCTCCGAAACATCAGAAAATGGATCAGGTGCCATGGAAGAGTAAGCATCCCCTGCCGACTGTTCACACCCGGCGTATACTCATTGTCATGAACGGAAACTAACAGAAAAATCCGTCGTCAGTTCAGTGTACATGTATATACAAATGACTAACATTTAGAATAAAAAAACGTAGTCATGTAATTATGTATTTTCCAGGAGAATAAAAGGATGTAGAAAACTAAAAGTGATTGATCTCATAAATCTTTTAACAATATAAATATGTGAATAGGAAATTAAGGTATGTCACTCGTGAAATTTGTTAAATCAAGGATTTGTTGAGAAGTATATTTTGGATAGCAAATTAAAGCGCGTAAATTACGATGTGAACTTTTTGCAAAAAAGTAGCATATTCGGGGTATTAAAAAATCTACGAGGGACATTTCAAAAGTTCTGGCAACTGTTTAATAAAAGATTAACCGTTTTACGGAAATTATTGAGTTTGATATCATTGGAAAGATCAGAAAAATATATGCATATTGTGACGTCACTTTATAATTTTTATGACGTAATAAGTTCGAAAATGACGTCAGAATATAGAATGTTTAGCATACTGAAATGTCGCGTTTTTATCAACGTGAGACGATCTGTAAAAGTTCTGCCAAAGGCTTATTTGAAAAAATATTTCAAAGAAAATTTTAATTTAAAAAGAGGTAGAGTAGGGCTATGATACTGTTTATCAGCAATTCCATTGTTCATTGCATGGTTTGTTTACGAGCACGGTTTATGTCCAGTTACGCTATCATAGACATTCATTTAAGATTTTTATTTACATGATACGGATGGCTTTTAGGTCTTTTATATAGCTCTCTATTGTTTGAAATAAAACATGTTCTGTATTAAACTGAAGTATATTAATGCACTTTTCATCAAATATATTTTGAGTAAAAGGACTCTTACTGTGTACGATTAAAATGTACTAAATCTTGTCCCCGACTGGATTCTGTGTGTAATTTTTCATATAAATTCAACTTCGGCACCCCAAAACTCACTACTGCTTTTGACTTTTGAATCCATAAAATGAATATTAGTTACTTAGACATGAAAAGTCTTATTTATTTTCCATTCATTAAAATTTGAGAATATGTGGGGGTACGGTAGGGTTACAACTGCGCCGCCGCCATTTTGGATTTTACGAGAAAATATTGGGCTCACTAAACTTAACTTCTCTTGAGCCTTCATCGATCCCACAAATCTGGTTAAAATACCTGACGAATTTATGCCATCGAATTTTGTTACACGATCGCCTATTTTTCTGTCTTTTTCTCACAGTTAGGTATCTTTTATGCAATATTTGAGCGAGATTCGATAAAAACATGCTAAGTTTGACACTAGCTAAAACCATTTCAGAACAAGAAGATCTCCGAAATAA